AATTTGATAATGAAGATGGTATGGAAGTCAACAATCTAATTATGATCTCAGGGAGCTATGATAACATGGAGAATACGAACTTCATGGAGGGAATTGGCAGAAGATGATCTACTTTCTTAAGACTATGAGCACACTCCATTGAATAATGATTTAGAGGATGATGAGTTCAGTAATGACTCAATCTCAAAATCAAACGCTTAATTGGTTTTTAGGTTCTTTTCTCCTTTACTTTTATTTTATCTATGGATATTATCTGTTAGAATTGTAGAGGAACTTGTGCTAAAAGCTTCCCTTCACGAATTAGAGAATTAACTACTAAATATAATACACAAATTCTCATTCTTCTTAAAACTAGAGTTAGTGGTTCTAGAATTGATAATATTGTTAGGAAACTTGGGTTCTCTGATTGGATTCGAATTGAAGCCACTGGATATGCTGGTGGGATTTGGTTGCTTTGGAACAATGATGTGGTAAATATTGATTATATCTACTCTAATGTTCAACTCCTTCATTGTAAAGTTAAGCATCTCTCAAAGAAAACATCTTATCTACTTTCTTCAGTTTATGGCGATCCTAACCCTTACAATCGCGAGCAACTTTAGGATTCTATTAATAACCTTGCTACTACTATTAGTGATCCCTGGCTTATTGTTGGTGACTTCAACTTATATCTCTCTTGTGAAGATAAATGTGGTGGGAATGGGTATAATTGGAGATCTATGAAGCTCTTTAGGCAATGCATCAACTCTTCTAACCTCTTTGAACTTAATTTTGCGGGAGACAGATACACTTGGGAGAAAGGTAGCACTAAGGAAAGGCTTGACTGGTCCTTCTACAATACTAAATGGAGATTAAAATTCAACCAAGCTAGCACCTTTCATCTTCTTAAATATGGCTCTGATCATCGGCCAATCAGAATTCAGCTTGAGAATACGGACATCTCTAAACCTCACAACAAACTCTTTAAATGTCACGCTACCTGGATGGTTGAAGACACCTTTCATCATTTAGTTAAAAAATCTTGGAATGAGAAACATTGAAAGGAAGGTGCCTTAAAATTTACGACCTCTGCCACTCAATGGAACAAAAATAATATAGGCAGTATCATGGCAAATAAAAAAAGGATCTTAAGAAGACTTGAAGGAATTGATCGTAACAAGAACTCCAAAGATAGCTATTTTCTAAGAAAACTTGAAAAATCTCTTTGGGAAGACTATAATAAAATCTTTCTCCAAGAAAAACTTCTCTGGTTCTAAAAGTCTAAGTGCAAATGGTTGAAATGGGGAGATAGAAATTCTAAGTTCTTTCATGTCACAGCCATTATCAAGGGGAAAAAAAGCTAGATTTTATCCTTACAGGATGAAGATGGAAATTGGATCCACGACCATACCATTCTAAAGGACAAAGCTGCTTCTTATTATGAAAACTTATTCAAAGAGGATGCTCAAGCCAAACTGAAACTGATAACTGGCAAAACCTTCCCTCCTCTAACCTCTATTCAATTGCAATCTATTCATAGAAATGTTACTGAAAAGGAGATAAAACTGCGGCTTTTGATATTAGAGCTTTCAAAGCTCCAGGCCTCGATGGAATCAATGTTAGCTTCATACAATGCTATTGGAATGATCTCAAAGACAGCATTAATCACCTTGTCAAGAGAGTTTTTAATGACCCCTCTGTCATCAATGAAGTCAACGACACCTTCATTACTCTTATACCTAAAAATGAGAGCCTAACATACATGAAGGATTTTCGTCCGATATCTCTATGCAATGTAAGCTATAAAATTATCACCAAAATCCTCTCCAATAGATTGCGACAATGCATGAATCACTTGATTAGGGATAATCAATGTAGCTTTTTACAAGGAAGACAAAGCAGTGATAATATCATCATAGCTCAAGAGATCATCCACTCTATGAGGAAAAAAGTTGGGAAGAAGGGATTCATGGCTCTTAAGATTGATCTTGAAAAAGCTTTTGATAGGCTTTCTTGGGATTTTATTAATGATACTCTTCACATTATCGGTCTCAATAAAAACTTCAGAAAGCTCATTATGACAGCCATTTCTACTACTCATATGAGAGTCTTATGGAATGGGGAACCTTCAAATGAATTCTCACCATCTCATGGCATTAGACAGGGAGATCCTCTTTCTCTTTATCTCTTTGTTCTCTGTATCGAACGCTTGAGCTATAGCATCTATAGCAGTATTGATAAAAATGAATGAAAACCTATTAGCCTAACAACTAATGGACCCCCTATCTCACATCTATTTTTTGCTGATGACTTGTTCCTTTTTGCAGAATCTTCACTCAAACAAGTGAGGATTATACAGTATTGCCTTGCCAATTTTTGCAATGCATCAGGACAAAGAGTCAACAATACCAAATCCAAGCTATTTTTTTCCAAGATGTCAATATCAATAAAGTCATTCAAATTAGTGATGAATTAAGAATACCCCTGACTGGCAACCTTGGCAAATACTTAGGAATACCTATTATCCATGAGAAAGTTTCTAAAATCACCTTTGCCCCTCTCCTTGATAAAATTAAATCTCATCTTTCCAATTGGAAGAGTCATTTTCTCAACACTGCTGGGAAGGCTGTTCTTATCAAGTCTGTCCTCACTTCCATTCCTAGCTACACTATGTAGAGTATGCTCCTTCCTGATAATGTTTTAGCTGAAATGGAATCTTACTCACGTAATTTCCTTTGGGATTCAACAGACGGAACCAAAAAGCCTCATCTCTTATCCTAAGACCATATCACCACGGAAAAAAATCATGGTAGCCTTGGCATCAAAAATCTTAAAAGCCAGAATAAGGCCTATATTATGAAGCTTTGTTGGGGAATCTTAACGAAACCAAATAGTCTATGGGTTCGTGTTCTTCGTGACAAATATAAATGCAATAACCCTACCATTCCCATGGTCTGTAAATCTAACTCCTGCTCCTATATGTGGTCTAGTATTTGTAAAGTTTAGGATCATTTTATATCTCATGTGAGTTGGAAGGTAGGAAAGGGGAACCAAATATCTTTCTGGTATGACAAATGGTGTCCCCTGCCTGAACCTTTAGTTTATTACGCTTACCCTAATGCTGACTCCATTCTTCATGCAAGAGTGTTTGATTTTTGTATTACTGCAGGTAGCTGGAAGGTAGATCAGTTACGTAGATATCTTCACCATTATATCATTAAACAAATCACTATTGTTCAACCTCACAATCCTAACGCTGATGATGATGTTTTATGTTAGAGACCCTCTAATGACAGCAATTTCACTATCAAATCTGCTTATAAGACCATTGAAAATCTTCATGACACTTCTAGATCTAAAATTTGGTCCGTGATTTGGAAATGGCCAACATATGAGAAGATTTAAACTTTTCTTTAGAAAGTGGCTTGGGATCGTCTTCAACCTAAATTTACCTATTCTAGTTGCGACAATCCCTGCATTAGGACTTGCCCTTTTGGCTGTAACACTCTAGACTTAACTGCTCATATCCTTAGAGATTGCGAGAAATCAAGAGAGGTTTGAAAAAAATTAATTAAACATTCTGACCTTAACACTTTCTTTTCTCTCCCTTTACAGGATTAGATACTTTGAAATGCAAAAAATGATGTGGGCAAACCTTGTGCTAGGAAGATCTCCTGGCAACGACTTTTCTCTCATGTGTGCTGGAACATATGGAAAGAAAGATGTAAAATCATATATTCTGAGGAAGACACTCCTAACAAAGACATTGCATTCACTAGCATTCAGGATATTCTTAGTGATCAACTCCTCCAATCAAAAATCAACTTCTTAACTCAACAGAGTGATAGATCTAAAGCTAAGTGGTTATCTCTTGAAGACGGATGGATCAGACTTGACATAGATGGCTCCACCAATAATCAAGGTGCAACTTCTTGTGGCGGCTTAATCCGAGATGGAAAAGGAAATTGGATTAAAGGCTTCTCCAAATACCTTGGTTACCACACAAGTACAGCGACAGAGCTTATGGGCATCTTGAAAGGACTTAACATTTGCTGGGTGGAAAAATTTGATAAAGTTAACGTCTACTCTGACTCTACAGAAGCTCTCGCACTTATACGCAATGAATTCTCTATGAATCACTCCCTTGCTGCTACTATCAACAAAATCATAGATCTTGTTATGAAAGACTGGATGGTCACTTTTGATCACGTTTTTAGAGAAGCAAATAAATATGCGGATTGGTTGGTTCACCAAGCTCCTGTCAAAAGCCTTAGAGTTCATATTTTCGATACTCCACCTCTTGGTTGTATAAATTTCCTGTACGCTAATATGACACATCATATCACATAGCACGGTTTATCCGTGGCCTTTTATTCAAAAAAAAAAAAAAACCCAACACTAATTTCAATTTTCAAAGTATCCCTTGGAGGTGGCGATGCCAAAACTTGATTTTCCAAGATGTTTGTCATCTCAACATTATTTCAAACACATTTGCACTAATATGGAACCATGATATGGCTGACACATGCTGCAAAGTGAATGGCTTTGGGTGATGCTTGACCAGTCTCCATTTTGGGGTTTTTTTCCTGCTTTCTCTTCTTTGTAATTGTAATATATCGGGAAAACAACAAACCATAGTCTCGTCTTGCTCTTGTAACGAAGCCCAAGTTCATGGCCACACAACATTCTGATGACTTCAATAAGAGAAAATCAATATACATTTCCTTATACTTTATTCCGTTATACCTGTTGCTCCCAATACTAGTACTTTTGATTCGAAAGACCAAACAACGCTCTAACACCATGTGAAATTTGCTAAGTTGGCTAACAAATGTTGATGATATAGGTTCCTTCTCACTTTGCTTTCTACGTTGTCTTTTCCTCCTCTGTTGTTCCAAATCTGCCGGCAAGCTCAGCAAATTCTTGTTTGGTCCTCCAAAGGCAACGAAAAAAAAAAAAAACAGGAATAACGCAATGAAGTGTAAGGGCTAAATTTAAATAAAATAAATTATGGGAGAAGATTTAAAATTAAGCGAAAGCATTCTGTAATTCTGGGCTCTGCCCTCGTCTTTTATCAAAAAAAAAAAAATTTAAACGAAAGCATATAGACATGGAATCTCGTAATAATTATCCACCAACAATTTCACCATCCAAAATAAAAGATGCGTGCTTCCTAATAATTTCCCAATAATTTCCCGTTCTGGACTCTCGTACGCATAGATGTCACACCCGAACACTCAGCCCTTGCCTTCATCCCAAATAGTAGGACCTCCTCATTGATAGCTGACCCAATCATTAATCATACGTCGACACCAATCATACTCATTCTTATGGCTTTTCTCAGCCTAAACCACCATCCATTAATTTCATCTAATTAGACTTGCTCCTGCCCACCAGTTTTGCCATTTTGCAAAATCATACTCTATACAGTCCATCATATTCGGACTTCACTTGTGGATTAAAAATGTATTTTCTATTCGACATTTCTTTTCCTTTTATGTACTTCAAGCAAATACAAAGGCCGAAAATTATCGCTAAAATCTGGCATTCTCAAAACCATGCAAGTCACTAACTCTGTTCATGGACTTCCTCATGATTGCCACTTTAGCCAGCCTCTCCGCGGCTCGCCAAGCTGACGTTGGCGTCAGCGCCTCCAACTTCTCCGCGCGGTTATTGCTTTGGCTTTGCCGCTGAAGCTGCTGTCTCCGCCTCTGTAACTCGGCTAGCTCGACTTCCAGCCACCGCAAATACTCTTCAGCCGATTTTGAAGCCGACTGCAGTAACAGGGCCCGAGCCGACGAAAGTAAGTAGCCAGCTCCGCTTAGATCGCAGTGCTCGGCTAGCTGTCTCGACTCGGCTATGGCTCTTGCGGTGACGTGGAGACTTCGTAATCGTTCGATTTTCGGATCCGATGAACGGACGGCGTGGGGTCGGGGAATGAGAAGTGCCTGCTCTTTGGGATATATCAACTCTTGAGTAGATGGGTCCCGGAAAGATGAACGTACGGACAGAACATGGTGGGACCCAGCTGAAGCGGCAGGCACTTTCAGTTCCACCAATAATTCTCTCTCTTCATCCACGGAGAGATCACCTAAACGGGCCAGACCCGCCCGAATCGCAGTAGGCCCACCCGAAATAGAATATACGGCGGCGATCTCAACCGGAACCGGGCGCGAGACTACCCTTAGCTGAAGCCTCAGGTCTTGTGCCACCAAATTTAACAAACCATTCAAGTACTTGGCAAATGAGTCGTCTGACCGCCCGTTGTCGAACGTGCTTTCGCCGTCTGGTATTCTCACGGAATGGACAGGGATTTCCAGGTGAGGGAAGCGCGTGGACAACACACACGAACGTCTTCCAACGGACAAAGGATGAGCGATGCATTCGTTTTCACCGTCCGACAGAAGAACGATGCTGGCTGTGGGGTTCTTCTGTCGCCGATCTTCGAGCACTTTCACGGCTTTCTTGAGTGCGTCGTTTTTAAAACACGCTCCTTGACTTTCGTCAGTCGCGGCCAGGGCGTCCACAATCCGAAGCGCCGATCTCTGCCCACTGCTTGTCATTCTTCGCAACGGAAAAAGCCTTTTTGACCCCAAAGAGAAAGCAACAATGGAGAGACGATCAGTGGACCCGAGAGACGAAATCACTCGTCGCATCGACCGTTTTATCATCTGAAGCTTTGAGCTGGCCTCGGTCCCACCGACGTCGAGCAACATCACGAGGTCTATCGGTGCCCGACAGACCAACGTCCGACAAGGCGGTACCTTGACCTTTAGAACCACGGCGTAAGTCTCATAATTTCGATTCGCCGCCATGATAGCAGCCTCGGGTAACAAGGACATTTCAATATCCCTGGTCCCCGGCGAAAACAGAGGATTCCGAACTGGGTTCACGTGAAAACCTTGGAACTCAAAGGATTCTTCTGAGAGTTCTTCGTTCCCGTCGGATTCAAGTATCGGATTGAAGCGAGCAACCGAAGTGGGAGACATGAGGGGCTCATCGTCGCTGTAGACTTTCAATGCCCTGGTCCTGATATCTGCGGTATGCTTGTATGCTCTGTTTTCCACCGAAGATTTCTTGATGTCGTTGTCATTGTGTATGGAGAATGAAGGCAATTCTTTCCAGTTTCTGCTGCAGACGGGACAGAGAAGGATTTGTTGCTTATTGACATGGGTGGCTATGCAGTGGAAGTGAAAGGTGTGAGAGCATTCTGCTGTGAAGATTGCTATGCCTTGTCTAGTTTTTACCCTCTGCATACAGATTCCACATTTACTCTGCATAAACAAAAAAACCGGAAACCCAAACGGAATGTGAGACCATGAAAAAGAATCAAATTCCCAAAACGACATAAGCGTAACTCAAATTATTACTTTGGGCAGCAGTAAGCTGGCTTTGAGAAGTGATAAACTTGATGGTGACTTGGGTGAGGGTGGATTGGAGAGCTTGTTGGGAGTTTTGGCAGTACTACAATCGAGTGTAGGGCTACTGGGAACTGAAGCAGCAGCAGCAGAGGTTCGACAGCGGAGTCTTGGGGTTGATGGGTTAGAGAAGAAGGCAAAGTTGGAACTTGTTCTGGGAGTTTGACTTGCATCATCGTCGCAACGGTGGTGATGCTTCTTTCTGAAAGCTTTAGAGTCTGTGTCTTTAGAGATGGAAGTGCAAAACGCCTTTCTCCAACCTGCAACCATACTCGCACGCTCTCGATCTCTTTCTGTATAAAGAGTTGAAAATATTGAGCCAAATGTGATGTGAGGCAAAAGCCTATGTGCTATGAGCATAGATATGACTCCAAGACCCCTTTTGGCCTCCTTTCTATGCCCAGACCACCTATTTATCACTTCTCGGATTTGCTGTATTTTCAAAATATAGATATCTCTGTTTCGAGAGCCCCGATGACAAGAAAGCCTTGGCTGCAGGTTTCCTCGTTTGAAAAATTATTCCCGTAGCCATTTAATTATATTATTATCATTTATTATTATTATTGAAGTATTCTTTCAATCTTTTTCATAAATTATTTTTATCAATTTCATCATAATTAATATAAAAAATATTAAAAAAATAAAAAGTGTAAAAAATTTTAAATATATATCTATATAATAAATCTAACAAGTGATATTCTTTTTGTCCTAAATTATAAAATACTTTTAAAAAAATTTTTCTATCCTAAAATATAAAATATTTTGGATAGATTAAAATTTTATTAAATATATCAATTTTAATATTACTTTTTCTCTTTCAATAATTAATTTTTATTATTTCTCTTTTTAATATATTAAATGATGAGTAATGTTTTTGAAAGTTTATATTTTGATTTTAAAAATATAAAGTTATTAAGTGTATTTATGAGGCTTATTAATACATGAGATTTAATTTAAAAGTGTCTTATAATTTGAGATGTAAGGAATATTATGTTACTTTTTTTTTCTCATAAAGGAATTTTAAAGATATTATTTAAATATTATCTAAAAAATTATGCCATAATTTATGAATAAAATTAAATAAATTTTTTAATATGTGTTTTATAAATAAGGCCAGAGTGAGCAGCACATAATTCGTCAATATCAATACCCACAGAAAATATTATAAGCCGTGAAGCCCGGTTTGATTTCCTCATAAAGCATCACAATTCCAAGTTTGGATTTGTCATTTGTGTACATGCGCCAAAGAAAAAATCTTTAAAAGAAGTCTACCTCTATCTGAGATGTAAGATTGTGCGAGTGCTCCATTTAAGTTAATTTAATTTAAATACAGTTTAAATAAAATTTGGATAGAAACTCAATAAGCGTAACTTATAAATAATACGCCCTCCATTTTTATATATAAAAGAGCAAAATGGTATCACATGTCCAACAAAATCAGTTAACGACAATATTTATATTTGAAAATAAAAAAACTGAACTACAATATTTTATATCAATTAATATAAATATGTATTAATTATTTTAATTAATGTAAATTATAGAGATAATTTAAAAAATTTGTAATAAATACTCATTGAGATGTGCAATTTTACTTATAAAAAATAAATCTAAGGTGACAATTTATCTAACGAATAAAAATATAGATAACATAAATTTTTTTTTATCTTATAAATAAAATAAAATAACATACGTAGGCGAGAGCAATCATACACTCCTGTTTTATTAAATTTGGGATTGACAAGATTTGAATTCATTAAATACCCTAATTATTTTCAGTGCTTTAATTATAATTGTTGAATTTTATAAATGCTTTAAAAATATCAATATATATTTCCTTTAAAAATTCAAACAATTAGTACGATTATAACACTATTTATTTATAACATCCTATCCAAAAATTTAAAATTAATATATTTTTTAATATTTTAAGATAAAAGTATCAATAATTATTTAATTATTTAATTAAATTAAATAATTGTTATTGTATTATACGAGGCACTCATTGATTGAATGAGTGAGTTTACTCAAACTACCCTCCCATCCAAATTCAAGTTGAAACTGTAACGGACCGGTGGAAGTTTGCAAGTTTGTGACAAGTGCAGCAGGTCAACGTATTTAATAAACTTTGCTTGAGGAACTGTGCAATGGTGTCACATACCCACGTTATGGAGTTCACCGACCCATGCAGCAGCCCTCTATTTCTTCACAAAGGGTTGATACCATTCTTGCTTTACTCTGGTTCACCCCTTCTGCCTCAATCTTGGTCTTCTTTATTTCGTTTTTTTTTTTTTCACTGAAACAAATCCCTATCAACCATTTTACCCTCCCTCCTCCTCTCTCTCTCTCAACATCAAGTCTGATTCTGATTGATGCCGACCTCCATGAATTACGTGCAACTGCACCGATTAGCTGAGCTATGATTCCTCGATGATGGAGTCCATTTTGTTGCCTAGTGGATCACACTCATCCCTGCGGCTGTGGTCTTGTGGGAAATTGTGACGACTAGTCCTTTCTCTGATGCGAGGGCCAAATCGTCATTTCAAGTAAAACGTCATTTATTACCTTCACGATATCCTAAGTTTATTTATATTCATGTTATTAAAGTATTAAACAGTTAAATAGAATAACGGCTGTTTTACACAAGCAAACATCGATCCCGATGAAAACGACGAAACCGCTCCAATGATCATTGACTCGTTCCAGCAACCAATGGCTTCTTTCAACATTTTTTTTTTGGGTTTAAAGAGGGGAAAAAAAAAAAGACGACCACAGGGTTTTGGTTTTCAAAAGGAATTGCTCGCAATATTATTGTCAGGACCCTATGATACTTTTATAGGAAAGGCCGAGTGAGCTTTTTAAAAGATAAACAAACCTACACTTGTTTGTCAGTGCCCCTATAGCAGAGAAGTTATTCCAACAAGTACTAGCTCTGAAAAGTTGCTAGTGTGCGCGTCTTAAAGACACAAAGCCTTTTAGACCTTGTCCTATATTCTCTCACTACATGTCTCAAATTTCTCGGCGTTCATGCACTCGGAACAAAGGGAGCGAAACACGCATTTGAACTGATTTGATCTGATTTGATTGAGAACAGGTGAAGCTCTCAAGCCTTTCATTTGAAACTGGAACATCCTTCACATTTGGCCATGGCTAATAGGAGAATCAAACCTGAAGAGTCGTGCAGATTTGGTGTCACGCTCTGATGATAGTAAGTGGAAATGAAAGGAAACATTGCTGGAAGGAAAAGGAGAGTGCGTTCGTTGCAGCAGAAAAAGCGGAGGGTATGAGTGAGAGGATAGGCAAGGCTTTGGTGACAGATTAATGGTCTGGGCTAAAAAGGGCAATCAGGGGCATTGATTAGTATAAAGCCATTCTTAGTTTTACTCAAATCATCGGTCTCTTTCCAAAAATATCACATCTAGTAGTAATTCTAATTCATAGTAGTGGTGCAGTGACTGCGATTTGTAACCGCGTGCTCATCGTGACCTTTTATTTCAGTTTAAATCGATCTATCATTTAATTAAATTAATTTTTAATATTATATTTATTAATATAAAAATTTAAAAATTTTAATAAATATATTCATTATCAATGTATAAATTTAATCTAACAATTTGATTTAACATTAAAAAATTATATAATTTTATAATTTAACTATCCAGATAGATTTTAAACAGTTCAAATAAATTTGAATGATTTAATTTAATATTAAAAAAATTATAAATTTTATAAATTAATCATTTAAATGTATTCTAAATAGTTCAAATTTAATGTTAAATTTCTTTATAATTTTTATTTTAACAAATATAATGTTAAAAATATTTAAAAATTAAGTTAAATGCACAGTAGTGATTAATTTGGGTTGAAATGGAGGGCTAGGGTTGCTCCTGACCTTGATGAACATTCAATGCTCATCACAATGATGTGTAGTGATGTTTTGTTAACTCCCAGTGCACTTACAAGAAATCTAAAGTAGTTCATCGAAGTATAGGAATTATCATGACTTGTTGCATGTTCATATTAGGTCCCTTTCTTCCACACCTATTTGTCTTTCTATAACTTACATCCCTTATTTTCTTAACTTAATGCTAAATGTGATGAATGACTTTTATTAAAATTGAATATGCTAAAGCTATCTCTTTTATTGTAATATTGTTCAACTTACCTTAACAATTTGAATTTAACAAAATCTTATAAATAGATGCACGTTCTTCATTTGATAAGAACCTTGTTCTTTTACATGGTGGCTACCTTAATGATTTAATTGTATTGCCTTTCATATCTATCTTTATTATAAATGTTAGATTTCTTAACAAACCATATAATTTAATGAACTTTTTTCTATAGAAAAAATGCTTGAAGGAGGTTAGGTTACATTTCAAATAAAGCAAGCTTATAGGAGATCAAAAAGCTGCAAGACACAAACTCTAGCTGCCTTGTAGACAATAATTTCATTTGTAGAGAATGGGTAAGTCAATGCTCCCACCATAGTCTTATTTAATCTAATAGCTTCTCATTAACATAAAGGCTGTTTGAAGCATAGGGATGTGTTTTCCTGCTTAGTACAAGTGTTGGATATATATTTAATATGGCCTAACTTAACTGCTATTGATATGATTCCAGACATTATAATATATGATAAAGCTTGATTTCTGGTCCTTGGTATCTGTATTGTACTCTCTCATCATTGCATCTCTTAAAACCTAATATTTTATCTACTACAGTCTTGTGTTTCATTTGCTGTGCCAAGAACAAATCATGGTTTTAGAGTGAATCCAATGTGCCTCTAAATAATGCCACTGTATTCATGATTAGAATTGTTTCACGTATGCTGTGTTTTCGCTAATAATACATGGAAAATAAATTTATTTTCCATAAATGTACATCAAATAGATGCATTTTTGACATGATTCGTTTATTACAATAAAAAATATTTTGTATACAAGTATAAAAACCTATACTACAATTGTGCAAATAAGTGTACTGCTTTGTATAAAATACATTTAAAGTTACTTGCTAATGTAGTTTGACATATTGCACTGCTTTTTTACATTTTCAAGTAATTTTTTTATCAGTTATTGTTTTGAGAAAAATCATATTTAAATAGTGTTTGAGAAAAAAAAAATCCATGATAATGAATAATACAACAACAATAACAAGAAGCCTTACCTATATCTAAAGTATTTATTTGCATAGCTAGTGCAAGCTTGCGTCTATTTTTCTTTTTTTTCTATTTTACATATGATAATTACCATACCCTTGACTAATCTCAAACTAGATAATGAATTTAGGCACTTCAATGTTGTTACGTTATTGGTACTTCAACGTTCACTTTCATTCGTTGCCTTGCAGATTTGTATACTTCAAGGTTCACTTTCTTATTTTTAAGTATGTTATGAGTTAATAAGAC